AACTTTTACATTATTTTTAATTAATCCTTTTAAAGGATTTTATGGAGTAAAAGGACAAACAACCCCAAAATGTATATTTTGGTTCTCCTGTCCGGTCATACTTACAACCCCCCCCCCCCAGTGGCACAGCGGTCTGCGGACTTACAACGTGGTGGGAAGAGCACAGATAGCCCATTGTGTAGCTTTGTGCTTAATTTCAAACAAACAAACATACTTACAGCAATCAAAATGAAAATTGACAGAAATATGGATTATCTCGCGCCCAACACAACAACGTAAAAAAATTGAATTTGCTCACTTTGAGTCTTTTGAGGGGGGGTCAGAGCTCATAAAAAAAGCACAATTTTGAGGTTTTGGGGCAATTACTCGGCCGTATTTTGACCAATTTAAATGGGATTTGGCACAGGTTCTACACGTTGACAAACAAATTTTTTTACAATTATTCTGACGTATTTTGGCCCATTTACATTGAATTTGGTACAAAGATACTTTTCTACAGGCAACACACATTGACAAATAAGCATGTTGGACTTGTCCATTTTTAGTAACTATAGTGGGATCTAGATGCCACAAAGAGCATAATTTTCACAGGATTTGGTACAAAGTTGATTTTTTCAGGTCCTAAACAGAGATATAGACAATTTTGAAATTTTTGTCTTTTGCTCAATTTTTTAACGAAAAAAGCAAGTTTGTGGTTTCGTGAACTATTCATATGTATGTCAACCAGCTTACATGGGATTTGGTAAAAAGATACCCCCTTGCAGGTCCCAAACAGTGATATAGACAGCTTTAGATATTTCTGTGTTATTCACATTTTTTCTGGTGTCAATATTTGCCATGTTGAGATTGCGTGGCGGAGACATGTTGCATTCGCCTGCAAATGTTGACCTCTTTAATTAACTATAAATTAATCCTCTACTGAGAAAGTCATGTAAAATGTTTTCTCTCCTGTAACGTGTAATTATGATTTCAAATAATGAAACACTTTTAATATGTTCAAGAAGAAAATACTACGTTAAGTTAATGAATTTAACGTTTTTAGATGAATCCAGTTTTGGTTCTGAAATATCCTTCCCTATCATGACACATTTTCTTAAAAGTTATATGTTAAAATCCTTTGTAAATGTAAAATGGATGGTATTGAAGTAGAAAAATATTAATGGACTTGTGATTTCAATCTTATTTAGTTAAATTACTAATAAATATTATTGTAGGTAATATTTTATTTCGTAAATATTTATATCACGGTGTTAACTTTATAAAATTCGTACACATTTTGTATTATTTTTGTGCACATTCTCCTGAATTTTAGTTGGAACACTTTAACCGTATTTAAACTGTTTGTAATGTTTTTATACACGATATTAAGGTTTATTTTTTTTATTTATGCGTTTTATCTCCTTTAAAAACGATTTCATCATAGAATCCTAGACATTCCAAGCTCGAGAAAGCTGACATTTTGGAAATGGCTGTACGCCATCTACAGGGTCTTCATCGGCAACAAAGAGCAGGTATTTAAAAAGTATATAATAAGCAATGTTTATTAACTAAAGATAATTGATTAATATGTTTCATTTACGCAGAACAAGAAGAAAGCATAAATATGATATTTTAAAATTGCGAAAAGTATTTACATAGAAAAACTATGAAAACGTTAATGACATTTGTAGTACTTGTACACGTCAAACTAGTTATGATTGTGTGTGTGTTGTGCTTATTTGCTACAACACGTACCATTTATCGTTTCTGGTATAGCAACACTGGTCAACGATTCGCAGCATAAGAACAAGTTCCTGGTCGGATTTGAGGAATGCCTCCGCGAGGTGGAGCTGTACTTGAAGAAACAAGATGACATCGAAGAAAACACCCTACAACAGCTTATGCAGCATCTGGTAAAAAGAGTCCAAGATCTTAAAGATACGGAAAATGGGGACTTACACTCTTTATCGCCCCGACTTCAGTTGCATAGTTCCACAATCCAACACTGTAATTCATCTTGTTGCGACGTTATGGAATCGTGCTGCCACTCTAAGAAGATTCCAGATTCATCGGTGTCCTCCAGCTGTCGTAACTCTAATAAGTCAGGTTGTTGTACTGTAGGAATTACTCAATTTTGCTTAGTTCCAAAACGTCTAGCAAACGGAGATTTGGCTTTAGTGTTGCCCCAAAACCTAGCTAGGGGTGCCAATGATTTAGAACAGAAACCATCTACTGCTAGTGCCTTCAAACTTCTTTCTATGAATTTAGATTCGTCTTCTTTTCCTCAGGAAATATCCTCTACTAATTCTTTTTTAGCTAAACCTGATTCTTCTCTGTATTGCAGTGCTGAAAAGTATACCAATTCAGAATCACTGAGCCCCATACCCAGCGAAACCTCTGACTTCAGCTCAGATGAGTCAGTTGGAATATCACAGGAACCACAAACATTTCGTTTGACTCATCCAACGACTTGCAATTTTGTCGGTTTTCCGGATAATCGGTCTCCGATGTTAGATAACGTATGGCGACCATGGTGAAGATAAGTAGTGGCTTCGTTTTCCAGGGAAGATATAATTTCTAAGGCAGAAACAGACAACATATTATTGACACATTACGCTAAATAAAAAAGTAACAAGTAACGCGTGCATATGTAATAAATAACTTAATAACTGTTGCAAGGCTTTTCAAGAACGAAAATATATCTTCTTGAATCTCGGAAATCAGAAATGACGTCATAAAATTTGTTTATCTTCTGAAAGAAAAAAAAAATGTTTAAAAAATAATCCTCCGGGATAGTTATATATAATATATACACATATATGATCTTCTTACATGATCTAACATTCTCAGTAGGATATATCGAGTTTTATGTCATTTATAACTATAGTATCTGTAGTAAAATAAGGCTTTGTGTTTGAACGCTTTGGAACACATTTTCTTCCAGTGTGATAAAGCCGTGATCCATCATAACTTTCATATAGAATCCAGAGAAATAGATATTATTTCCTGCTTAGGAGTTACTCAAGCAGAAAAAAAATATGATTTGATGTCTCAAGGGAGCGGCTAAAATTGGTTTGGTGAGATTGTTTAATGATTTTTGAAGTAAAGTAATAGTTTTGTAGAACTTACCATTTAATACATATTAACTTACACACTTATAGAAAATGATAAGTAACGTGAATAATAAATAGTACACTCTTGTTTCATTATTTTTCTGGAAAACAATCTTGATGTTAAACGTGGGGGACTTTTGAATACTGGAAATGTAAATTAAACACAATACTTTTAAGATTTAGGTGGCACAGAAGAAGTTCGTTTCAAATGTTTTGTAGTATCAAATTGTATTGTCGTATATGAGCAAATATTGATATTATCGAATGTAATTCCGTTATTGATTAGGTTTTAAAGTTGGGAAGAAACCTATATTATACAACTGAAAAATTATGTATAGATATATATATAGTTAACTTGGTATAGGCGGTGGCCACTATGCATTCCCGATTTCAATTTACCTCTTTCTCTTCCCCTAGTAGCTTAGCAGTAAATCTGAAGGCTTATAACACTAAAAACCTGGTTTCAACATTCGTAGTTGGCACAGCACAAGTAGGCCATTGTGTAGCTTTGCGCTTTACAACAAACAAACAAAAAACTCCATTATAATGGTTATTGAAACCAACAGTCTTTTATTGTGGATTATAGGATACTGATTGTTACAATAGTTTACGTTTGTTTGTAATTAAGTACAAAGCTACACAATGGGCTGTCTGTGCTCTGCCAACAACGGGTATCGAAATCCGGTTTCAAGCGTTGTAAGTCCACAGACATACTACTGAAGGGCTGGTTTATGTAATGCGAAGATGAATGCAAATCAATAAATGGATTAAAAATCTGATGGTATAACCAGAAAACCATATAATACCATTTTGGATAATTAACATTGTGAAAAGCATTTATTTCGATGTGTTTTTAAAATGCATGTGTACATATATACTGCATTAGATAAACTGAATATTCGATGACGAGGAACCCACTTTGAGACTAATAATGCTTGGAGACGGCTTGAATGGGTAATGAAGAAAACTTTAAT